GCTTCTGTGCATCCAGCTGAAAATTCAGGGGCTCTGTAAAGCCCCCAAATCTGAGATTTGCCTGAGTGCCCTGCTCTTTCCCAGGAGCCTGTTTAATTGTGGTCTGTTTCTGCACAAGTAGATGTCCTGTTCTGATCTTCCCTTCCTAAGAAGACTAAAAGCAAGTGCTTTTCAAGGGAGTTAGTCACATTCCTGTATCAAGCAAGAGGTGTGCAGTAATGTGTACATATGATGTATATGTGTATGTGGTGTGTGGGTAGCTGTGTCTCCACATATACACATGCACAAGTTAATGAACACTCTAGAAGGCATTTACAGCTATACACAGTGCTTTGCCAGTTTCATGGAGGCTTTCTTTATCCTTCCCATTTTAACCTGCTGGGTGTACTGGGGACCCTAGTATGGCAGCTAAGGCTGACACTCTGAAGAATTGATCACTTTTCTCATGCTCCTCAAACAACCTAATTTAGGCAAAACACTTACAGAATTTGGGAGGAAAGATTTGCAAGGTATGAAGAGGAAATTTAAATTTTCTGACTGAGAGCTCTTTCTGTTGATGTATTTCAAAGCTTTAGACTATACTTTCTTGAATAAATAAGTAGCAATCAAAACAGGATTCATGCTTTTTATCTAATACAGGATCATATGGGGCCCTCCAGTCACTGGCGTAGTGAAGGAACTGGGCAGGGGGTGATCTGAATTCGTTATGCCTATAGCACAATTTTCTGAAAGCTGCTTTTTTGAACAAATGCCAATGTCATCTGGTTTGCCATTTATCTCTTTTCTGAGAAGTAGAGTTTTGAAGGTAACAGTAACTACTTGTGACTTTATTGTGCATAGAGCAAGCAATATGAGTTATATGAGAGAAGTAGTAAGTCATAGTTTAATTCATGGACATCCGCTTTGGTGTTCCCTGCTGGAGACAATGAACAGTGTATGGTCTTTTCCTGTGACATCAACAGTAGCAGTCATCTGATTTATGGCTTTAAAAACATGCCTTTGAATCGCATTCATTAGGGCATTCTGTTTGGGGTGGTTTTCCCTTAATGATGATGAATTCATGCTGATCCAAGCACTCTTCCAGAGTCTTTCTGTGTGCCCATGAACTTTCATTTGCAAGACAAATGGCTGGTTTAGGGTCAGTCTGCAGAAATGAGAGAAGAAAACTGGGCCATAGGAGTACAGTAAGAGCATTTTCAAACCTATGCTGGGTTGCACTATTTTTATTTTTCTGTCTTTTGGATTTGTGAATATGTGAGCAAACAGGTTGGAAAGCAAATCTCACATCTTTCTCAGCCCTTGTTCTGTGCTTGTTCTTTTGGTCTCTGATGTTCTTCCTAAGCTGGAGTCATCTGATCTCCCTTCTCCCTTCCTCCTCCAGAGCCAGTGAGCCCCTTGTTCTGTCACTGCTCCCTGTCCAATGACTATTCGCTCTGCCCTCCATTCAGAGCCTCTGCCTTAATGTAAGCCTTCATTATTTCTCCTAAGCAAATCCTCCTGGCATGTGTCTCCCATGAATATAGTATAAAGTTCAGAGTCTCCATCAGCATTCATGGTTCTTCCTAATTAGTTCTCTCCCAGCATCAGCCCCATCCCTACTAAGGGCTTTCATATGAAGTCCTTTTATAACTCCGGCCTTAGAGGGGCCACTTTTATTTTTCTGCTGAGTAGTCATTGAGTCACTATTTAAGGCCTATCAAAAATGCTATCTTCTTCAGGAGTGATCCCTGATTCCACCTACCTACTTAGTTACTCTCTCCTCTGTCTGTGTCCCCAAAGCAGTCATGCAGACCTCTCTTATAGAGGGTAATTATCTGCTTCCCTTTCTTTCTGCCCAAAGACTAAGATCTCATCAAGGGTAAGAACTATGTCTTATTCGTGTATTTCTAACAGTTAAAATCTCAGATGTTTGTTGAATGAATGAATGGATGGTTGGATGGATGGATGGATGGATGGATGGATAGAACTTATGCCCTAGAATATAGTAATCATGTTTTCTTTGAAATTATATCACAATTTTATTTATAGTTGTTACAGAACATGATCCTTCTTGACATATTATTTTGAAATCTAGTATTTGTTGTTAATAATATCATTATGTAAAAATATATTATTTAGCCCTATGTAAATTAAAATATGATGATTACTACTATTAGATTCAACATGAATCCCTTTCTTTTATCATACCATTTTCTTTTAATATAGAAAGAATAACAATAGTGACACAATTTTAAAATGAGAACTTTTATATGCAGTGAATTACTTAACTGACACACCTGAAAACCAAATCCTATACCTTTGGGGATCCAGGAAATTTCCCACTATCCTCACCATCTTTGTTTTTCCAAGATTCCTTTATAAGTCTGCCAGTTATCAGTTGATGATTGCAAAATACTATGTTGGTCAGCTTCCAGAAAGCCAGAGAAATATAGCACAGGTTAATCATCTCTAATCTGAAAATTTGGAATCCAAATACTATTGATTCTAAAAATTTTGAATAACAACATGACACCACAAGCAAAATTCCACACAATGAACTTTATTTCATGCACATAAATATTTAATACATTGCATAAAATTACTTCCAGATTATGTATACAAGATATATAGTATACATAAATGAGTAGTTATGTGTTTTAACTGAAATATCACTATACACCTACATGCTTGAGTTGATCTATTTTTACCATTAAACCTGTGCATCTTGAGCTCACTGGGTCTTTCTAATAAGTGCTTTGTCTTATCTACTCCTCTGTATGCATTATTGGTTTCTCTTGCCTTCACCCCCCCACACACACACACATTTTTTAACATACATATTTTTCTCTTTCATATATATATTTGGTGCCAGGGATAGAACTCAGGGGTGCTTAACCGCCTAGCCACATCCTCACTCCCTTTTTTATATTTTATTTTAAGTCAGGGTCTTACTAAGTTGCTTAGGGCCTTGTTAAATTGCCAAGGCTGTCTTTGAACTCACAATCCTCCTGCCTCAGCCTCCTGAGCTGCTGGGATTCTAGGCGTGTGCCACTGTACCCAGCTGTGTCTTGTTTATTAAGAGCCTTCCCTGACTAACAGCAGAATTTTGACTATCACCACCCAATGATCAACCTCAACCTTTGTTGCTCCTTCCTCTCCAGCTCTTCTCTCAGGACACTATTTTTCTTCCTCTTCTAAATGATGCCAAAGAGTTCTGTTATTAAATCTTCCCCACTACTCTTTATTTAGTAATCTCATGATCACCCCCTGCCAGATGTTCTCATCCCAGTTGACTGTTGCAACCGTTGCCCCTGCAAAAGGCAATTGAAATCCCTAGGTCCCCAGCCTGAAGGCGGACAAAGCAAACAAAGTCCAGATAGTCTAGCTAAACAGATTATCATCCCCACCAGCCATGCTACACACTGGGGGTGGTAGTCAGGCAAAGGCCGGGACTTACAGCAGCTCAACTAGCAGTGCCATTTCCTCCAGGTGAGGTTCGAGAAAGAAGGCACGTGAGCTCAGGGACTTGTGTGAACCCAGTTGGTGGCAAATCCTCACATTAAAATTGAGTAAAACAAATTCATCGTGTGAAATGATGACAGTTTATTAAATAAAAAGGTCTACTGCTGAGGTTCCCCTGAAGTAGAAAACAGTAAACATAAATGTCCCCATACATTTAGAAGTAATTATTAGCATTGTAAAGATATTCACAGTGCCAGTGGTGTTTATTTCCTTCTCTGTTTATTTATTTCATGTGCAAATTTTTTAAACTAAGACATTGAGTATTGTGCTTCTGTGAAGGTTATTATTTACTCTCTGACATTCTTTAGACACTAGAAGATCTGGAAGAGCTTTGATGCCCTTTTTTTAAATAATAGAGCCTTGGGAATCACTTGTAAAAGATCTATGTCAATAGGGTGTTAGCACCCATGACAACCTAGTCTGAACTATGCCCTTCTAAGTAAATATTTAGAAGTTCTGATTTAATCATGTGATTAAACCAGTACTCTAGTTTCCTTAATCCCATGCTTACTGGATCAATACCTATTTAAGCAATATTGAGTCCATATTTGGTTGCCCTCCCCACAACACCTACTACTAAGTTCTATCCCTTCCTCTATATAATTCTCATCACAACCCCTACACCCGTATCATTCCAATAGTACCATGTCTGGAAGCAACACAAGTGCCAGACAAGGTAATAGAGTTAGAACTTTAAGAGATTTGAGAGCCAGATTGTGGGGATCCTTGTTAACACGATAATAGACTAACAGAGAATGGTATGTGATCATGATGAAGAACTATGGAGGCACCATATGGTGCTGAAATCAGACCTGCATGGCAGTGCTGCCAGTTGGGTGAGCCTTGGTCTGTCTTGACGTGGAGGCAATGGCTCCCAGGACAGCCAGAGGGATGGAGGGCTGGCTGCAGTGGATGCAGTGGGGGGGAAGAAACAAGAATAAGGAGGAAAACAGTCCCTGAGGTTGAGGGAAGCCATGACACAGCTATTCATTTTCCCACCTTGGAACCTGGACACGGTAATGTCTTTAGAGGGCTGCAATGGAGTCCTTAAGATGGGACCAAAAGAAGAAATGATATATGCTTGGCTCTTCTCATTCAGCTACTCCTCCCTGGCTTCCCTTCTAAGCTCTTAAACAGGCATTACTTTATCTTTATTCATATGCCAATACCAGAGTCTATATATCTATAGACCTAGGTATATAGACCTACTAAATCGCATTTTAAACAAGAGCCAGAAAACATTTGGAAGTAGATCTCCATGACCTTTTGCCAGTCATATTTGGAATTTGTTTTAACCTTAAGTTATGGAGACAGACTTGAAGGGAGACATCCCCAACCTTGCTAAAAATGTAAGTACATAAAGGCACAAATTGGATGGATATTGATGATGTTGTAGCTACTGTGACATCATCCATAGACTCCTAGTGTCTTTGCTTTGCTTCCCTATAGTGATCACAACATAAATTACTTGTCTTGTTTGACTTCCTTGTTCACCAAAGTTGAGCAGATTGTGGCCGTTTTCAACGCTTCCACCAGACAAAAAGCTTGGGACCATTTCTCGAAAGCTCAGCGCAAGAACATAGACATTTGGCGAAAGCATTCTGAGGTTGGTGATTTTATTTTTACTTTTTAACCACCATCACACAGCTGGATTGGCAGAGAATAGTGTGGCTGCAGCCACTACAGTTTTTGTGACAGTGGGCAGTCCTCCTGCTGTTGTCCTGTCTTGTTGTCAGCTCAGACGTGTTCCTTCCCCAAGAAGAGCAGCCGACTTAACACCTAGAAGATTTCTCTCCCCTACAAAGGGAGAAGGGAATCTTTCCCATTCATAGTACAGAACTCAGAAGTAAGCCAAGATATCTTTCCTAACAAATTAGTTTGAAGAAAAGTGTAACTTAACATAGGACAAAAGTACAAATTTTTTTTCCAGTGTTCTTCAAGGTGACAGTTTGCTCTTTGGGCTAGAAATGGCAGGTATGCCTCTCCATCCATGTCTTCTCATCACAAGCAGTGTCAGTTCCCTGTGAAAGCCATCAGGTTCTATACACATCTCCCCAGAGCAAACGTCACAAGGGTGTGATGTCGGCCCTTCAGCATCAGTGCATGTGTGAAGTGTGAGTATCTATCCTCAGGGAAGGAGCCCACCTTGCCACCTAGACCAACCAAAATGTCACATTAGGCATTGGTCATCCAGCTGTTATTTTTAACTCCACAGTGTAGTGTACGCTTTGAACCTGTAATTTCAAAGTAAGTATACTGTCTTTGTTTGCTTCGTTTTTTTTTTTGTAAGTGAAAGAATGTATTTCATTTGGATGCCTCTTCATCTCTAGCATGTTAATATTAAAGTTCTCAAAATGATATTCCCCTCTTTCAAAAATCACAAACTTATAGAAGGTAAGATTTATTTATTTAATGATGTTGGGTCAAACTTGTAAAATAAGTGTTTCACAAAGAGTTTGAGGAACCACAAAGTACTATGGTATCAATCATCTGGGTAGCATTTTAAGTGCTCATTTACTAATGCTAAATTACAGTTGAATACCAGTGGCACGGGATGTAACATCCACACGAATACCAAATAGATTCTTTATTATCACCGTTATTACTGAATGACTTCACAATAATGGGACACTTAAAATGCTAGTGCAATTTATTGTTAAGGGCATTTTAAAAATTTTGTTCACTAGTGCCTAAGAAGGTGGTTGGTGACTGATAACAGTTCCGTTCCTCTATTTAGGATTATGAGCGAAGAGGAGATGGGATTTCTCATGAGTTTTTTCAGGGCCCCCCAAATGAGGGCACTTCCCTGATGTTCTCCCTGAAAATGGAATTGAGACCCAAGTCAAGTGTTATTTTCAAGAGGGACAGAGTCCTCTATTTTTGATGCAGATGAAAACACAGATTGGAATCTATAAACTATGATACAGATTTGGGAATGATCAGTATATAATTTTTTTCCTTCACATAAAAGCCAAAAATTATTAAAAGAAATGTTAAGAGAAAGGCAGGTAGCATGGTACTGAATAAACATGGGCATGAAAAGACCATTATTGGCATGGGAGGTCAGCAGATAGAGATGTTGATCTAAATCATGCTTCCTATCATGTCTGACTCCACCCACCACCATCCCTTATTCCTGCCTCCCCCCAGACTGGGGCTGTCCAAAGCAGGACATTCAGGGCTTCTAGCCCTGGTCTAAGGAAGCCTGCTTGCTTTGCTTGGTCCTGGAAGTGGAAATGTGCCCTGCAGAGGGACAGGTAGAATGCAGTCCAAAAGTCCACCTGTAAAAGGGCTTCACGCCTCCTGCCACTCTGCTACCTCTTTAGGTTTACATTAAGACATGGAACTCTAAATTACCTTTGAGTTTCTCTCCTACATGTCGCTTAATTGATTAAATACAAGTTGGTAATTTGACATTGTGGATGATTTCTCAGTTGCATATAAGCTTGATAATTGGCTTGATTTTTTTTCCCCCACATTCACATGTACAGCATCTGTTAATTATCTGCAGCACCTCTACGGATTTATTAAAGTGTACTAGTGATTTACAGCTGATACAGAGGCACCCTGTGGAAACACCCTCAGCGCCCCCACCCCATGTTTTCCTGTTCTGCCACCCTTCCCCACAAAAACAGCTGTGGTGTGACAGTTTGTCATTAATGTAGGGACTAAACAACAGGCCCTTTGAGCCTTGTTATTCTTTCCACCTGACTTTTCTTTGTTTTAAGTATTTGCAAGCCACCCCTCTGGCAGTTGGATTCTTTGTCAATAGAAAAATTAGCTGTCCACCACCTAAATTTCTCCCCACCGATCATGGGTGACATCACCTCCAAGATCCAATGATGTTATTTAAAGCAGAATTGGCACTTATTTCTTCTAGGTGGCCTGGTCCCATAAGGAAGTGTTGTCTGTCATCCCTGGGCCTCTCAGGCATTGTGATGGCCCCTCCCAGGACCTTGCCTCTCTGCCTTCCCTCTTTCTTGTCCTCTGCAATTGTGATTCCCAGAGTGCAGAAGTGACCAAATACTGTTAACAATAATTTCCTTTCCATCATGTGTAGTTAAATTTTAAGAGCTAAGGGGAGCAAAGAATTGAGAGGACCGACCATCTGGGATGATGGGCAATGGAACAATGTTTAAAATCATGCCGCTAATAAATTAAGTGTAGTGATTTAATTTATTGTTTTAACAATTTGACTTTTACTGAGGCTCCAATTTAAAGAAGGAAAATAGAATAATGGAGACTTTTCCCTGTAAGACTTTTCGAGGACAATACATGTAAGACAACAGAATGAATGAGGAGTCACAATATATAACATGCAGCTTGGGAAAAAATAATGATGTAATTAATTATTTAAAGGGAATGATTACAATGTCTTGATTTGAGGCATAGTAGTAAAAAATTTAACGTGTAATTCTTTATTCAGTGAGGTTTCATGTATACTATTATATTCAAACAGCCTTGTATTATTATTATCCCCTGCTTATGGGTGAATGGAAAAAGGCTCAAAGAAATTGAATGACTGGATTGCAGCCACGCCCCTCATTAGTAGAGAAAGTAGGCTCTAAAATCAATGCTGAAACAATCAGCCATCACCCCCAAAAACATAGTCCCAACAGGATAATGTGAAACCCAAAATGAGAAACATCTGTTTTTATTTTGTTCCCTACTATCTTTAGAATTTTAAACTTTGGATATCTGAATGTTGTGAGTGTGCACCTGTGTGTGATCACACACAGGCACATACGTACATGCAAGGCACTAAGTTCGTGTGAAAATATCTCAGTATCATCAGCTTAGCACACCATTTGTCTAGAGTGATGCTAAGACTCATATGTGCGTTTTCTCATTTCATCCTCAAAACTCGTAGCATCAAATTATTCCAGGAAACAAATTGAGGCTAAAATAATAAGAAGAAATGTTCCTAAAGTTACCCCATGAGCCAGTGATAGACTAGGCTCTTTTAAACTTCTGTTGCTCAGGTCCCTTACCAGTCGCTGTGCTAGCCAAGTAATGGGTATTTCTATGTAAACTTTGCCACAGACCTGCTAGATTATTAATGCCCCCGTTTCTAACAAATGAGGAATTAGAGACTGAAGAGAGATTTAAAAATTTGTGAAAGGGCCTGTCACGAGGCCTTGGTGATTAGGGATTTATCTCACTAAAGCTTTTAACCTTTTTTTTTTTTTTTAACCCTAGCCCCCTTAGAACTTCATCACAGATTAGGTGAAATGATGCTTGGGTCCAAGCTTCAGATTCTAAACGTTGATATGTCAGTCTTAATATACCCAGAGACCAGTGGGAAGAGGTAGGATGGCTGTGTCCATGACTCTGATAGTCATGTATCTTCTGCTTTTAGGAGCTCCGAAACGCTCAAAGTGAGCAGCTCATGGGCATCCGTCGTGAAGAAGAAATGGAAATGTCTGATGATGAGAATTGTGACAGCCCTACTAAAAAAATGAGAGTGGATGAGTCAGGTAATGCTGATAACTACCACATACCTGCAAGGTATTGTAATGAGTGTCTGAATCTGGAGATGGAGAATAAGTCCTGGGAAATAGCCTTATAACTCACTTTTGAGTTACACTAAACTTTTGTGTTTGACTAACTCTGCCTTTATTAATAGAACTTTAAAGTCTTAGGAACACAGTGATTTAAGTTGTTCCAGTTATTTCTCCATATGTAGATCTGGTGCCATTAGACTTTCTTTTTTTTCAGAGATGTTTGCCTGTTCCCATAAAAATCCTTTTCCAGAGGGTGGCAGCCACACCTGAAGCTGAAATACAGATAAAATTTGGTTTCAGTCCATATACTTGTTACTTGGGAATTATTTAATCCCTAAAGATTCTCTCCAGCCTCTGAGCCAACATGCTGGAAAATTAGACTTTTTCCCCAATAAATTTTAGTTCACCTAACCTGTAATCAAAAGGATGGCCCCATTTGGCACCAAGCGAGGGGCGCCACTCCTTAGATTATAAAAAGAAGAAGCTTAGAGAGAGCCTTGCTTTGTGTGTTCTGTCTAATCTGAGATGCTGATTAAAACTCTCTCCTAGAATTGTATATAAATTATTTGATATTATAAGAGCAGGCAAGCAAAATGCTCATTCAGATGTGAGACACCAAGGGAGACAGCTTGTCTGAGAGGAAGGGTGATAAATAAAGGATCTAGAAGACCCACAATTGCCACCATTACCAGAGAAGAAAATTAGAGAGCTGGTATAGATTTGCTCGGTCTCCTCCTAGGTACCAGTGAATAAAGCACACACCTGTCTAAGGTTTTTTAACAGAAAGATTGCAGGAGACTAGAAAAAGGATCTTTGCTAATTTGTCGATAGAAGAGTAGGAACAAAAGGAAAGAGTTTCCTTCGCCCTCTGACAGTTCACTGAAATGAACTGAAAATAAACAGAAAGAGCATGAGAAAAAGAGACACAAACTTCTGATGCACAGAGGTGATCACAGTGTGTAACCACCCCCCACAGCTCAGAAGCTTATGTACCCCTTTAACGTAGAGGGGCAGGATGGAGAATATAGACAGTTTTGAGAAGAATAGTCAGTTGTTTCTAGGGGCACTCAGTGGGCTTGTAGAAACACAGTGGCGGGGGATAAATTCCTTGGTTCTATAGACCAGATAATGAATTTTAAATGGTTCTCTTTGGAATGTTGAATGGGATCAAATAGAAGACAATGGTGTATGACAAAAAGTGTCCAGGTGAGTTTACAGACTTCAGCCTTACTTCCTGCAATGAGTTTAGCCAACGAAAGCTTAGGGAAGGGACCAGAGGGAATCCTTCTCTTCTTCTGAGGGTCTGGACTCCTAGCCAATAAGGAGGTATTAGAGCCAAGCCTCTCCCTGTACCCGCTGCTCTCTAAGCTAAAACAATCAGCATACCAGGGGGGGCTGCTGTTATAGGGTGGCTGTCCCTGGACTCCTTCAGAAGTCAAAACCAAGATTGCAAAAAGATCAGGTCATTGAGATGGCAAAATGGTTAAGATGGTCATGAGCAAACTCCTGCATCCAGGCCACATGGAAAGGATTTTAATTTCCTTAAAGCAGTCCTTCTCAAAAGTGTGGTCCCAGTCTAGTAACATCTTCCTTACTTAGGAATGTATTAAAAATGTAAGTTCTCAGGCCCCACCCATGACCTACTGAATCAGAGACTCTATGGGGAAGGGAAATAAGATCCAGCCTTCTGTGGTTTAAGCCCTGTTAGGGGATCCTGATTGATGCTAGAGGAAGTCTGAGAACCACTGCCTTAGCAAAGTAGAGCTTTCATCCTCAAATTCCATTCACATAAATCTTTCAGAAGCTTAGCATACAAGTAGGCACCATGCCACCCCTTTCTGAAGCCATATATCCTTTGTCTGAAAAAATAAGCCCAGCGTCTGTGTGTCAATGTATGTCTCTTATTAAGCTGATCTCGCATTTCTCAAGAGTGTTTCACTATCAGGTTTGGGTTTGTTTTTGAGGGAACCACCTTCTTCACAGCATTTCTATTCCATAAGCCTCCGTATGTCAAAAGAAGGGAGCATTGGTTTGATTCTCTTAAATTCAATGAGATCTTGAGATTAATAAAACATTTTTTTCTCAAAAAGAAAAAAAACACCAGCTTTTATTGTTTTTGAAGTTTGTAGATGAGAGGCAAGTTGACATGCAACTTGGAGTCTTAATTTCCTTACAAGGTAGGTGTAGAAGAAAAGAATTGAGTCAATCAGAAATTCTGATTTGAACTTGTGGCTTTTTTTTCCTTTCTTTTTGGTGGTGACATTTCTTTTTAAATAGCCTGTCAATTGTCCAAAGAGGAAATGTGTACAATTTCAGAGTCTGCTCAGGATAGGACTAGAATAAGAATGACTCTGAACGGTCCACTCACTGAGAGGTCCCAGCTAGCCTTGGCAGCACATATCCACCTCCAGGACTGGCTCCTGACCTGTGCCGTTGAAGTGTCTCTGGAGATGTCAAAGACCTCTCCCCTGGCCTGGGGCCAGAGATCCCCTGGAGGTTTGCCTGCAGAGCACTCTTCCCAGATGTCTCTTAGTTTATTCCCCAGTCATCTGATGAGAGCAGGAAGTCTAATTTGAACTTTTAAAAACTTTCGCCAGGCCTGTTACTTGGTCAGCAGAATGAATGAACAAATGCAGCCCATGTTCTCTACCACGTACTGAGGGAAGCCATGAAAGAATTGGAGTTCAAATGCCAGGCCCTGAGCAGTTCAAAGTCTTTTTTGTGCTTATTCAAAATGGACCGAGGACATGGCATGTGGTTTCTGAAGAAAGCACAGGACTGATTAAAGAGAAGGGGAAGCAGCTAGCCTTTTTCACTCCACTGGGCCCTGAAGAAGCTACCCAAAGGCAGACAGTTGTTTTTCTTTCAGCCCTGGGTTTTCAGGGACATGGCCTGACAGCAAGAATCCTTTCTGGTCTTTTTCACTAAACCACAGACAAATCCCTGCTAACTGCTGATTGAAGCAAGGAATGGAAGCTGGAGGAAAGCACCCCCCCCCCAGTGCATCTTGTTAGGTGACACACTACTCATTTTAGGTACAAATTTGCAATTGCCGCTAACCTGCATAGAAGCTGGCCTCAACATGTAGTGGTCTGATTCACTGGAATTGCCAGATGTGGAAGAAGGTGTGAAATTCTCTGTATTTAAGGAATCCCTTGTTCATGTCCTCTCTGCTAATACAGCAGGAATCTTACCTCAGCTGTATTAGGGAAGTAGCTGAACCAGGAATTCTTGGAATCTCTAGGGAAAAAAATCCTTGGTGGCTGTTTGTTGGGGGCCGTAGTCCTACAGGGTGCTCAGGTCTTGGCATCCCAGTGCCCCACTTTGCTTGTCATCTCCCCTCTAGAACAGAGACCACCCTGCAGGGGTTTCTTTCTGGGAGAGATGGAGAGAATTGCCTTTGTTTCCAGAAAAGGCACAGTTTATTTGGTAAGGACTTGATGATACCTTGGGTTTAATAATTTTTTTTTAAATAATCAAGCTGGGCATGATGACATGATTGGAGTCTTAAATACAAAAAATGAATAAATACAATAAATAAGATTGGAGTCTTACACAAACCTGTAATCCCAGCGACTGGGAGAATAAAGTTGGGGGATAGCAAGTTTAAAGCCAGCCTCTGGAACTTATCAAGACCCTATCTCAAAATAAAATTATTAAAAGGGCTGGGGATGTGCAAGGCCCTGGGTTCAATCCCCAACACCTTAAAAAAAAACAAACAAAAAATGATATTCAAAAAATATTAAATATATTTAAAGTGATATTCGAAATATTCAATATATCTCTCCACTTCTGATTATGAAGAATATTACATTCTAGTCTTACCTTTTACTACATAAAATGATTTAGGACGTCTTTGGCTGGAGTTCCTGGGCTCTGCAGTAAAACTACAGCGTGATTCTGGGCGGGCAAGTCACCCTTCCTCATCCACTCATCTTAAGAGGGGAAAGGAGTTTGTTGGAACAAAACTAAGATGCTGATAAAACTGGAAATGAATTTGTGTACAAGTTTGAAAACCATGATGGATTTATGAAATCAGCCGTTCAAGAAGACTGGTGTCCCACTCGGAAGACTGTGAAGATAAATTTTTATAAAAATTCAAATGTGTGACAGTTTAGTTGGCAGGTCCATCCTTCTTCCTCTTTTTTCCCACTTCCTCCCTCTCTTTCTTCCCCTCTCTCCTGTGACTTCTCCTGCCTCTCTCCTCCTTCTCCCTCACCTCCTTCATCCACCCCCTGACTTTAGGTTGATGGTGGGGGTGGGGCAGATGTGCACCAGGAAGGAAAAGGAGAAGGGTCAGAGGAAGTCTGTCCTAGACTATAAGACCTGCCATGGCAGAACCTGGTTAGTTTTAGTGTTGAGAGAGTGCAATGAGCCAATGCATGTCAGGCACTTCTGGTTTTAGAGATAATGCCCAGCCTAAATTAGGTGCCCAGTGAGTGTTAAGTCCACTTGTTATCTCCCTCTTCTCCAGCACCTAGCCCTGGGCCAATCCCCAGGTAATAGCTGAATGAAAGGTTGTTCCTCTGTTCTTAGTGTTTTTGCTGCCTTTGCCCAAACATCATGAGGAAGATGTGAACATTTACTCTGATTGAATTTAAATGGCAATGGCAAGTGTTAAGAAGCATGTTTAAATAAAAGCATGATTTCTTTCCTCAAAATGTGTGAAACTTTGAATGAAACTCAGTGCTACATGCTGTATAGGCATCCTTCTAATTATTGACAACATTCTGATTTGACGACATTCCGACATTTACAGAACACCTTCTCACACTAAAGCACGCTGGACCCAGGTGGAGTTAGATGTGGCAGTCCTGCCCTCCAGGGCGTGAGATGCCTTTTGAAAAGAAAATTTTAAGTTAATAAAGATACAGTGGCCAATAACAGGTATCCTAATGTCAGAAAATTAAATTTAGTATAAACCCAAATGAATGTCACTACCTAGTATACATGCCCCACCCAACATTTGATGA